AAAACTACAAGTACTAAATGAGTATTTAAACCTTTAAAATTTTTTTCGTATAACTTCACTAAAAGTTGAGGTCGATAAATTGATTTCAACTTATGCTGCTTATTTTCTTCTCTACTGTTGTAAGTGTTGCAGAGAAGTTTATAGGTTAGATTGTGTGAGTAAACTAACCAGGCGAAGTTGAATCAAAACCATAGAGTTCATTCATAATAGTGGATTTGCCAACTCCAGGTGGCCCAATCACTCCAACCACAGTGAAATCCGTATTCTCAGTCAAAAACTGTTACCATTTTCAAATAAAATCCAACGGCAGTTAGAGTCAGTATATCTCAGCTTACGATAAAGGTGTAACCTAATTGCAAACATTTTGAGGAAAAAAGGAAATCAGAGGATACTTTACTTACAGGGAGAAAACGATCGATGTGGAAATCCCAAGAATCGGAGAGAAGGTTAAGGGACGCCACAGAAGGAAGACGAGAAAGGAGCTGAGCGGAATCGTCATCGGCGGCGCCGCCACGACCGAATTTTCCGGCTCCGAACCCGCCATTGTTTCGTTTCGTTGTTGACAGTGAAATGAATCAGTGTCAATTTTGGACTAATGGGTCATGTCAGGTCTAGACATAATTGGGCTGGGCCAACCATCTCCAACGTTAATGGGCCGTACTTTTAAGTTTTCTAGAATATTTAAGTATTTTTATTTTTATTATTCAATTTTTACTCGTTTTAATTATTCTTTAATAATTATAATTTTAACTCATTCATTTATATTTTTATCAATTCAAATTAGTATGGTTGGATATTTATTATATATAACTAAATTTTATAATAAATAATATATACACATAAATAATATATTTAATATATAAATTATCCTTATTATTATTAAACAGACCTAATTGGAACTTGGAACTAACAACACGCTTAAAAAACACACAGAAACATAATTTTAGTTTATTTTTAACTTTTCTCGCTTTTCAGTTTCTCAATTTCTCCCTGGTTTCTTTCCTTTGTAAGCAAACAGTGTTAGGTCTTCTCTGTCTCTGAGGTCGACGCTGCTTCAACGTCTTTGGTGAGTATTCATTCCATATCGTTAATTCGTCAATCTTCGTTTTCTCAATCGCACCATCTAAATTTCTCAGATTCTTTCTCTTCTCACATAACGCTTTCGTAAATTGGAAGTTGAATTTATTATTCCGACAGATTTGAATCTACCGCAGGATAGACACATTAGGTCTTACGTCGTTGTCATGAAATTTCCGTCGCCCTACAATTTCGTTCCTTAATTTTTCAAGTAATCTTTGCTCTTCGTTGTTGCTTCCCATTGTCATCTCACCATTTAGACAAATTAGGGCAACGGAAAATGTATAGAAGAAGCGCATTAACAAATTTCTATGAAAATGTTTCACAAAATTGAATCAATTGTCTTGTTCATGACATTTTATTGAAAACTAAAAATTGCTGCAACTTTCTAGTATAGAGTAAATCATTTACTTTGACATCTTACTGACAACCATGGTTTTGTTCCCAATTCAGCTTCATTCGATTCCAATTCCATGACGACACCATCTTCCTCAGCTTCGGAATCGCAATACACTTATTCCAACCCCTCTTACTTCCCAGTGCCCTTTCATCTACAGCAACCTGCAACCACTCATTACGCTGCACCCTATGTTGCCACTCCGTCCGTGCAACCTTCCATCGTTGGTCCCGTTGCGCCGGTGGCAGGTGTGTACTCCACCGTGCCACAGTATCAGGTTGGTGGTTTTGTTCTTGTTTAGAATAAGAAAAGGAGAATGTGGCGTAAATTGATTGAATTTGTCTTGTGATTGAGCAGGCACAACAGTTATTTGAGAGGGATGCACAGATAATAACGCCGGAGGCTCTTGAGAATGTTAAGGCAGCGATTGCGAGTAGTGATGTAGAGCACAAAGCAGATAGCAAAAGGAAAGCGGTTCCTCACAAGGTTGCTGGCCAATCATGGGAGGATCCTATCCTTGCAGAGTGGCCAGAAGGTATATATGATGATGATTTTTTAGTCATTGCTTGTGAAAGATTATCTGTTATTCCTTATCCACAGATATTACGCAATAATAACATGATTATCCCAAAATAAATAAATCTGTTATTCCTCATAGCAGTTTTGTATAATTGATTTGGATTGTGCGTGTTTTGTTTCTATGGAGCCTATGTGGAAATTGCGTTTGTGGTTTTGAAAATTCTGTAGTTAGGCAAGAATTCATGAATTCATTTATCTTTTTTTTTTTGGGATAATTAGATGATTATCGGCTCTTTTGTGGCGATCTCGGTAATGAAGTGAATGATGATGTTCTTTCAAAAGCATTTTCACGGTTCCCTTCTTTTAACTTGGCACGAGTAAGTGGATTTCTCATCTAACCCAAATTATTTTTATGTTTAGTAATGATTGTGGTGCTTGTATGAGCATTTTCTGTTTCCTCTTCAGATTTTTGTTTGAAGGGGACAGAGGTGTTAATGGTTTGTGTATCTTAATGTAGATCTTGCTTAATGATTTGAAGTTATGTTTGATCTTGTCTAGGTTGTCAGAGATAAGCGGACTGGTAAAACAAAAGGTTATGGATTTGTGAGCTTTGCGAATCCTGCTGACCTTGCTGCTGCACTTAAAGAAATGAATGGTTAGTAAGCTCTGATGTGTCTCTCTTTTTAAATTACCCTGCAGTGTAATGTCTAAATGCATATTACTCTAATATTTGTTATTCTTCTGACTAGTGCTTTGATTCAGTATAAATATGTTAGGCCAGATAGTATTGACTAGAGACTCAAGATTGATAGCTTTACAATCCAAAACCATAATCATGTTGGATTATTGTTTCTTTTATGCATCAATGTCTTTATGGCTCATCCAATTTGTCACTGAATCCTGTCAATGTAAGCAGACAATATTGTCGCAAATGCAATGAAATGTGTATCTTGATTTTGATGTCTTGTTTTCAGGTAAGTATGTTGGAAATCGGCCCATAAAACTTCGCAAGAGTAAGTGGAAGGAGAGGACGGATTATGAAGCACTGGAAAAACAGAAGGTAGCAATTTTCTCTGTCCATGATTTGAAATTGTTCCGTGAACGTATCCGCTTATATATTCTTCTATTGTTTACACAGGTAGAAATTCCAAATTATCATGAAACGGGAAA